GCCAATCGTTTAGTTGCCTTATCCGTCAGAGAGTGCCTAGAAGTGCTAATTGAATTCAATTTATTTTATTTAATTCTTATCGGAAGACGATGTTTCATATTCTGGTTAGTATCTTTATTTCTATTTGTTGTATATTATGGGCTAAGGATATTTTAGCAACCTTTTAAGCAATTATAAAAATATTGAAATACGAATGTAAAATATTTTGAATAAATTTAACGATTATTAACAAAGTGGTTTAACGATTATTGACAAAATATTTTCAACTTAATTTAATTAAATAATATGACATACTTTCTCATGCATGATCACAAATACGCGAAACAAAAGTACAACAAGTTGTGTCAGTGTGTTGTATGTAACCAACTGATAGTATCCTTATTAAATAGCAATATCAATAAAATAAATACGTATATATTCCTTTCATTAATACTATTATTGAATAAAAATTATATTTTCAAGATTCTTTCAATTGCATTTAATATACGTCTGTTTGTTTTTATTAAAAATCATATATTATAAAATCAATATCACACAAACGAAGTTGCATCTTACTATATTGCCTTCCTTATGTATAATGTGATATAATTCACATATTTAAAATTTCTAATAATCTATCTTTTGATTGTTTTTCTATTAAATCATCATAACAGAAATGATGGCTGAAGCAGTGGTAGACGAGACAGAACCAATGCGAGCGTGGTTCCGAAATAGCGTGCAACATGTTATAAATAGAAAGAGAGAACGAGATTATCCCAACACGTTTAACGAATGGTATACGTATCTATATAACAAAGAAATAGAAATCTCATCTGCGAGAATTAACCATTTTCGCCGCAAAACAAAAATGAGAAACGCCATAACAGAATATATGACTAATCCAGAAAATATCTCGAGTATTCAATCAAGATTTTTGATTACCTCTACTCTACTGCAACAAGAAACAGAACGTTATCGTCGTCAAACTGAACGTATGAATTATCCATACGAATGCTTTATTCTAGGAGACATATTTTCGTATGAAGAAGGATTAGCGTTGGTGGATATCCTGACATCAGTTCCCCCACAAAATTGCAGATGCCTAGATTGCTCGCTGAGGCGGCTACCGATTTTGGCTTATGAAATGGCCCGAATCATCAGTGGAATAAAAGGAGTACAATATCCGCCCACTTGGGATTTAAGTCGCCAAGCGGGACCAGAATGGTCCCAAAAATTTCAACGAGAGTACGATCATGAACTAAACTATTTACGATTTCCGTGCCTGAAACCTATCGATCTGTTTGAAATGCACGATGTTCCAAGTACTTCCAGGGATCCGTAGGCACGATGAAGGAATGATCTGTGAATTTAAAGATTTTATTCTCGACGGATTAAAAGAGAACTGTAAACGAATCATCTACCATTCTCAAAAATAAGGAGTCTAAGAACAGAAATAGATGTAATAATTAAAATCAAACAAAATTATAGAGAACTACGATCATCATTTTATCTCAATTCTACTTCAATTTTAAGATACATTTTAAGATATATTTGAAGCAAGATCGAGAATTTATACAAATGTTTTCTTTAAAATTGATGTATATTGATATTCATATATATTGATATTCCAATTATTATCAATTTTCCTGTTTATTTCGTAGTTATATTTTCGTAACGTAATTATAATTTTGCGGATACTTTCAGAGACGAGATTAATCTGAAATAGTTGGAAATTTCTCATGTATTCATATATGTACTATATATAATTAAAATATACGTATAAAATATTTGTTTTATATACATATTATGACAAATATGTGCGTATTTTTAATAACTGATATGAAATATATGATTTCAACGTTTTTTTGGATTAATAATAATAACAAACAGGGTTGAAACACGTAAGAAATTTCTGACAATGTCGGATTAGTCTTGTTTGTAAGGTCGACCATAATATATCTTTTCTCATAAACTATGAAAAGATATATTACGAAAATTAAGAAAGACAATAGGCAGGCAAAATACCGATAATGTATTAATTCCAAACTCGAAAGTACAAATCTTGGTCAGTATTAATTTAATGTACATATAAATAATGTTGACTTATAATATGAAATAGGATATTGAACATAGCGACTTTTAACGAATTATTTGGTATAATGTTAAATATTTTTTTCAAATTCCGGATAATACTAATAATAGTGCAACTGTAATTTAAGAGGACCAATATTTAATTATAAACAATAAGAAGATAATAGTGACGATAATGTTTTATGGAATGATTAAAATAATATTATTAATCAACGACTACTTTTAAATGCATATTGATCCTATCGCATTAGAAGTTTTGACTAATTATTTAATAAAATATGTAATATCATACATTGTTTGCCAAATGTATTGTGTTAAAATTTCTTGCGTATGAGCCTATATACATAAAATAATATACATAAATAATATTTTAAATAACGACGTCTTTTCAGTCCGGAAAATAAACCATGTTAATTTTAATGGCAATAAATTTTTTATGCGACAAGATTTAATGTACTAAAGTATTTCTTTTTTGATTGTCCTCATTGTTATTACTGCCAAATAGCGTTCTCGAATTTCTGAAGTAAAAATTTGGTTATCACGAATAACGATTGATATGTCATTATCGATAAATTAGATAATGAAATATTATAATTCAAATCATAAATAAAAAACTTGAAATATTATAAATATAATTAATTAAAATTAGATATTAACTATAAATAGGTGTGGATATTGAAACCATT